AAAATTAAGAAGTTATTTTTACTACAACGTAGGTATTGTGTCTGAAAAAGTGGAGTTTGGGGGTCGGCCCGGTCTCTATTTCAATTAATCCCATATGTTATGTTGTTCACTTTACGCGTTTCTCACTTTACGCGGGCCGCCGTGGGTTGAATTAACCGCGTAAAGTGAGGGTTCACTGTATAAACATGCTATACTGTAGTTTGTACTAGACATAAATATTTTAGTAATTATTTAGTACATTTGAGTGCATGTACAGTACAGCTTTGCCCTTAGGACATTGTGCATGTAAAGGAGTAAAAATAAATGAAGGTTGGCTTGTGTTTGGGCATTATGAACGAGTATGAGAGAGGTTTAAGTGCACTAAATTGATAAACACGAGAGGCATGTGTTACTCCAACAATACCCACGCGGCAACTGAAGACAGAGAGGTGGGATGGCGGGGGTGGAGCTTTGACGGGCTAGCATTTGGCGTGCTTATGACCCATTTTGAAAATTTTGAGTTTGAAATTGGAAATTGTAACCTAACCCCCGGGGTAATCCGCATATACAGTGATCCCTCGGTTAACGAACGCCCCGGTTTACGAAATTTTGGTTAACGAATTACCTTCCATAAGATTCTTCACTTCAGTTAACGAATTCCTTACGAATTTTTCCCAACATGTTTTTGCCTGCTCACCAGCTGTAGTATTAGTCCGCCAATACAGTAATCGATTTTAGGGCTTAAATTCGTTACCATTTGAGTAAATATCAAGAAGGTTGTACTATTCAATAATTTTCCAGGTCTTATATTAAAGTTTTTAGTAATTTTAAAAATTATTTAACGTAATTGAAGTACAGGGAACCAGTTTTTAGCACGCCAAACAGCCACTTGACTCACCCAAATTGGCATCAGTGTGTGTCCCTGCACAGTGTAGGAAGCTTCTTGCTGGAAACTCTCTTGAACATGAACTATTTTTACGTTTTTACAGTACTACAATTATTGGTCATTCTGAAGTTTATTTTACATATTGGCAATATATAATGCAGTGCAGTGTTGATTTAAAGAAAGTAATCTTGAATTACACCAAGTGAACTAAAATTTTATGGGTTACGGGCATGAAACTCGTTGCGAATATTGAAATTGCGAATAGCGGAGCAATTTCTCCCATTAGATATACAGGTACTCCCCGACTTACGACCTACTCGACTTATGTTCACCCGCACTTTCGACCTGCCTCAGTCGTACCAAAATTTGGTCAAATTACGTTTTTTCGAGTCCCAAAGTCACTACACAGACAAAATTTTCATCTGTAATTCACTTTAAAATGGCTGGCAAGCTTAAAAGTGAGTGTTTTGTGGTGCTGAGAAGAAAAAGAGACCCCCATTTTCGATTTTCTATGTGTTATTTAAGCATTTCCGACTTACGACCATTTCGACTTCCACCTGGATGTCGGTCCCTAACCCCGTCGTAAGTTGGGGAGTACCTGTAATGTAAATAGGGGGGATGCGGGCATCACGGTGGTCATGGCCATCAGATTTTAGCACTTGTTTTACTCAATACATATAGAACATAAAATAAATAAACAAACAAGGGCATAATATCAAATAAACATCAATAACAAACGCTGAGTTTATGAGACATAGGTTTACAAGTACACTACAGTATACAGGGGTACTTTACATGTTTGAGTGTGTGAGTGTTTGAATGTTTATGTGCATAGGTGTGTGAGGTAAGTTTTAAACGTAGACTGTTAATTTACTTCTGATGTACTGTGTTGCTTGCTTGCTGAAGTTGGCATTAGGGGAGAGGGTGAAGGTTTACTGGGGTGAGAGGAGGCTGGGGTCGTCACTCATCATCACTGCCAGGCTCGTCAGCCACCTCACTCTCATTATCGCTGTCAATTTGCACTGAAAGCTGTTGTTCTCCACACTGGTTGACGGCTATGGTTCGCTTGTTGAAGGCTGTGGTTCACTCGTTGAAGGCTGTGGTTCACTCGTTGAAGGCTGTGGTTCACTCGTTGAAGGCTGTGGTTCACTCGTTGAAGGCTGTGGTTCACTCGTTGAAGGCTGTGGTTCACTCGTTGAAGGCTGTGGTTCACTCGTTGAAGGCTGTGGTTCACTCGTTGAAGGCTGTGGTTCACTCGTTGAAGGCTGTGGTTACTCGTTGAAGGCTGTGGTTTTACACTGGTCTTGAACAGCTGCCTAAAAGCTGTGTTCTGTTTGGATGTACGTGGGGTGGTTGGTGCATGGGGGGTTGAAGGTTTGGCCGTTATAAATGCATCAAGAGTCATTTGTTGTGTATTCTTCCTCTTCTCCTCAAACACCTCGTAGTATGCTCGTATGTCTTTCTTGACATTGCGGATGATAGTGCAACTTCGGTCAACATTAGGGTCCATTTCTAATGCCATATCCATCGCCATCTTAAATGAAGAAATCAGCTTCCTTAGGTTCCGTACAGTGAGAAGTTGTGTTGGAGTTTCATCTGCATCTTCTCCCGTTGCAAGTGGTATTTCTTCCTGTTGAAGCCTCTCCAGTTCTATCAGGTCTTCATTGGTAAGTTCTTCATTGTGAGAGTCGAGGAGGTCTTCTACGTCAGAGTCATCCACTTCATCGAATCCAGCCTTCTTTGCAAGAGCCATAATGGTCTTCCTTATTGTAGGCACTGAAGGGAAACCAACGAAGTTGTCCACACACTCGGGGCCACAGCTTACGCCACACACAGTTCATGTTCTGTTGTGTTATTGCCTCCCATGAATCACTGATGTTTTTTTATGGCTTTCCTGATGTTGTAGTGTTTTTCCAAAACTCCCGGATTGTTGGTTTCTCTTCTCCATCGGTCCCCTCAATCAGCTGCTCCATGATATGCTGAGTGTAGAGCGCCTTGAATGTAGAGATGACGCCCTGGTCCATGGGTTGCAGCAAAGCTGTGGTGTTAGGAGGCAAAAACACAACTTTAATGTTCTTACACCAGTTAACCATAGCTGGTGGATGACCTGGTGCATTGTCGATCACCATCAGAGTTTTGTCATCAAAATTATTTTCCTTATTATAGCGACTATTGCGACCAGACACATAGTTGAACATGTAGTCGTGCATCACAGACCCTGTCACCCACGCCTTACGGTTTGAACGCCAGACTACAGGAGGTTGTCCCTTCACAACCCCACCTCAGAACATGGGGGTGTTTCAGACCGGTACACAAGGAGAGGCTTTAACTTCAGGTCACCCTTAGCATTTCCACCAATCAATAGAGTGAGGCGGTCCTTGGCAACTTTGAATCCCGGTGCGGTCTTTTCCTCCTTAGATATGTAGGTCCGTGAAGGTATTTTCTTCCAGAAGAGTCCGGTCTCTTCCAAGTTGAAGATTTGCATAGGACTTTACCCACCCTCCTTAATTATGGATGAGAGAAATGGTGGGAACTTCTTTGCTGCTTCATGGTTGGCACTAGCTGATTCTCCTTGTATTTTTAAGTTGTAGGTTGATATACGTTTCCTAAATCTATCAAACCATCCACGCCTGGCACTGAACTCAGGTACGTTGGGTTTATCTTTAGTTATATCTTTCCACAGCGATCTTGCCTAGGTCTGGTCGTCAATCCACGTGCTCAACATCCGCTCCATACTCTCTATCTCGGCATCACGGAACCTCGTTACCTTCGTAGCCGTCAGTGGTGTTGCAAACCCGGCCATCTCCTTGATCTTGTTGGCCCTTTTAACTATAGAATGCACCGTAGAGGGAGGCAAACCGTGCACGTGCCCAATCACTGATTTTCCTTCTTCATGTTCATTTCTTTTTACGATATCCAATTTCACGTAACTGCCACACGTGATCTCTTAGCAACATTGCTGGGAATTTTAGTAGCTGGTCGCTTAGGCATTGCAAGATCACACAAAACACAACTGCGAGATCACACAAAACACACACCAGCACGTGTGAGACTGAGGCGAGCGGGAGCGTATGGCGGAGGAATACGTACACACGTACACACTCTGTCCTACGCTACGGTTGAGGCACGCGGTTCAAAATTTTTGCTTGTAAGAATTTGCGAATAAACGGGGCAACCATTGCTAATAGTGGAAATGGGTAACAATAAATTGATCGTGGATAAAAGGGGGTTACGAATATCGGGGCTTGCCTGTATTGTGATATGGTGGTCTATAGGCTCTTCTATCCAGGCTACCCCCTCAGAGGAGAGTTCCAGGGAGTGAGTTATCATAAATAAAATCAGTAATATGTTTGAATTAACAGCACATGAGCCATATTGTTTGTATGATTTGAGTAGCATTCAGCAGGTTCTCATATGGATGAATAATATTTAAAGCTGGATCCCCAGAGAGATTGCGAAGATTAGTAAAGACACCCCATTGTCAACTCTCAAACATGAATATGACACCTTGATAGAATTATGTTAATCTATCTTTCTGCTTCCTCTCCTAAAATCACACTGCATTACCTCTTAACACACACATTGTGTGTCTCTTAGTTGTCTCAACAATAACTGTACCATTTATTTAGTTATACAGTACTAAAAAACATTGTCTATATTTTTTTTTTCAGGAAAATAATATATGCTCACTACCATTGTGTATCTCTCTGTCTTGCATTGTTTATACACAACTGTCATCCATTGTATTACTGTTTTATCTCCCTTAACATTTCTGCAGTGAATTCCATCTACTCATGGTTTATTACCATTGTTCAGTTTGCTTATGCTATGTCTCTTGTCTTCCTTTCTTATCCTTTTTTCCTCTTTCTTCTTGATCCTTTTCACATCCCAGACAGAATAATTCTGCCTCTCTCAACTGTTATGTTTAGCCGTTCAAAATCTTTCCTCCATCTCTCTTTCACTTCCTAACTTTTTCCAAAATACTGTATAACCACATCTATTCTGGGCTGACATTTCCATTTGTTTTTTTCAATGTTCATATCCTATTCACTGCCTTCCAAAACACATTGTTAAACTTTTCCCCCTTAGTTTGATAAAAATAATTACGGTGTATTGATTTTTGTTTTCTTTTTAGGTTAAAGGAAGCAGCAAGGGAAACTGCCAAAAGAGCAAAGGAGTTGGCACAAGAAAAGGCTGGTCCCATATATGCTGCTTGTGAAGGAGTGAAAAGTTGAGGATCAAATGTACTGGCCAACCTTAAGGTGGCTAGAGAAAACAAGTCACAAGTTGCTGAGAATTTGTAAGATAATGGAAAAGCCTTTAGTGATGAGGAAGGTGCTTTATCTCCAGAAACTTAAGTGTTTACATGTTGTAGTGCAAATAGTTGGATTTTTTTATGATTAGGTACATTAATCTGAATATTACATCAGGAAATTTTACATCAAAATTGAAAAAATTATATGCAGTATTGAAAAAGAACCTGTCATTGCACCTGATAAATTTTATTTGCTTTATACAGACTATGGTTGATATATCAACAGATGTGGGTGTTTAGTTGAAGAAAAATATAAATACTTTAAAATGCAAGTTTTAATGATTTGATGCTAATATTAATAGTTTCTTTCTTAAATAGGGTAATGACTACTTGAAAGGACTTACTTCATTCATGTGATCATCAAGTTTGTATCGAAAATGTGTTATAAATGATGAAAATTTATATTTCAACAATACATCTTTGATGCCCTTTGGTATCCCTTTGGTTGCAAGTTTCACTCTTGTTCTTACAATAGCACACTTGCATAATTACATTATCATTTGTTTATCACAATGCATTGTGGGGGAAATCTGGAGTCATTGTGGTGAAGGTGTTTGTTATTTTTTGAGAGAGTGATTTTGGAAGGGCAATTTTAAAGTGTTCTGTGATCAAAGACATCAAAATTGAGGACCTTAGATGATGGCTTATATGTAGAATTTTTCTGAGGGAAATCTCTAGTAGAAAGCTAGTTTGACTAGAAGGTAAGTCACCACATATATGAACCCTCATTTGCAATAAAATATTTCAATACAATCATGACATTGATGACAGCTAGCATTGAACTGTTGTTCTTTACCCATAGGCTTTCGCCTACTACTGTACAGTACTCCCTCTTTATCGACGGATTTTTTATCGACGGTTTCGATTATCGACGGATTATTTAGACGGATTTTTATTTTGGCTTTATTTGAACTCTGCGGGCCTTGTTTGTACTTTCGCCGCTAGGCGGCACTAGTGGCGTGACTAGCGTCTACCCGCGGCCCGCCTTCCCTGAACACAGACATCAGCCAAGCCGCGTGGGCAACAGTCTTTGATTTTCAACTTTTGCTGGTGGTTCATCACATCAACTTATATCACCATGCCTCCCAAACGACCTGCTGCTCCCTCTGGATCTACACCTAAGAGGGCAAGACGAGTGCTGACGCTGAATGAGAAGAATGAAGTGCTGAAACAACTCGACAGCGGTATGAGCTACGCAGCTGTTGGCCGCCACTTTGGGCTCAACGAATCCAGTGTGCGTGGAATTAAACGACGTGCAAAGGATCTGAAGCACGCTTTAGCTTCAAGTGCACCAGTGACATCAAAAGTGACGAGCCATGTGCGTGATGATGCCCTCATTAAAATGGAAAAAGCACTGAACAATTGGATAGAGGACCTAAAACGCCGCCGCATACCACTTAACTCGAAATTTATTAGGCAGAAAGCTAAGGAACTTTATGATAAGTTTTCTAAAGGTGATGATCATGGTGTTGGTGATGGTGATGGTGATGATCAGGGTGATGGTGATAATCAGGGTGATGGTGACAATTTGAAAAAATTTGCAGCTAGCAAAGGATGGTTCGAGAAATTCAGACATCGTTATGGGCTGCATAATATAAAAGTGACTGGCGAAGCAGCATCAGCAGACACTATGGCAGGGGAAGCATACCCTGCAGAGTTTGCTAACCACATAGAACAAAAGGGTTATAGGCCGGAACAAGTTTTTAATGCTGATGAGTCAGGCCTATGGTGGAAGAAGATGCCACGCCGAACCTACATCTTAACAGCGACAGAGGTGCAAGAAGAGTTATTGGGAAATGTTGGGGATCCATTTACAAGTGATGAACTAGAACAATTAGTGGAGCTGCAGGATGAAACAGAAGATGAAGTGAGTGATGATGAAAATAAGAACTTAACTTTAGATAATCTTGGTGAAGTAATAAGAATGAGTAAGGCCCTCTCTGCTCGTCTCTATGACATTGATCCCTCCCTTGATAGGTCCCTTAAAGCAAAGAGAGCTATTGAAAATGTTATGTTGCCATATATAGAACTGCAGAGGGAAATGAGAAGCAAGAAAGCACAGACCACCATCACCAACTTCTTCAGTCGCCGAGTGCCTGCCATCGCCGAACCTGCCGGCATCCTGCAACAGGAGGCAGAAGCTGCCGACACCTCACAACAACAAGACGTAGAAGCTGCCGGCACCTCACAACAACAAGACGCAGTACCTGCCCACACCCCTCAAGAAGATGCAGACCTTGACTCATCATACTCATCTGACTGGTCAGGCTTTTAATAAGCCTCAATCATCACACTTGTATATACTGTACACTGTATTGTTTACTGTAAGGACCGATGTTCACTTCAATAAATGAAATTGTAAGTTTGCTAGTATTTTTGTCCACTTATTATATTATTATTTATACACTATTATTTAAGGTTATGTGTAAAGGAAATGCATTAATGCTTAAAGGTACATTTATTCAACATATGCTAATAATAGTTAGAAAAATTACGTAACCATCACGGTATCGACGGTTTCTTTATCGACGGCCGTCTACAGAACGTAACCCCCGTCGATAAAGAGGGAGTACTGTATATAGTTTAGTTTTAATTTTAATTTTATTTATTTACCTTTGTACTGCTCCCTTGCTTAACATGGGTTTTGTCAATGCACATTCGCTCAATCACATTTTTTTTTAGTATTACCTGGTATTGCTTAACGCAGGGCTAAGATTCGCTTAAACGCGGTTGAGTCAGGCTAATACGGTTAAATTCAGCTGAACATGATCAGGTAGAAAATTTTTTGCTCAGGCCAGCGGTTGAGTCCTTTACAGTCCACAGGTAGCATCTCCATGCCATGTTGGCTTAGAGTTTAGCTAGTGCTCGGTCCAGCCACAACCAAAAACTTCGCTTTGTTTAATTTCAGATATTCTCTTGCTTTCACCACCATGGCTCCACCTAAATGTTTTCTAAGTGCCATAGAGACACTTCGGCGAAGAAGAGTAGGACCATGTTTACCTTACAGAGTACTGTAAATTAGACATTATTCAACAGCTAGTGTGTGGCCAATCTGCCGCTTCTGTTGGACGCTAATGTCCAACCAGCATCCTATATCACCCTCATTGTTTATGCCCTTCATATGTGAGTACAGTATATTTTTTATTCTTATTTAAACGTTTGTTCATATGTTTATGTTAGACATTCTTGCGACTAGAAAGAGACCAGTCTGCCCATTCTGTCGGAGTGGTTTCTCCGTAAACGAGTCAATCAAGAGGAATGCCGAAAAGATTAGAGTCTTAATTTTGGGTAAATGAACATAATTTTCATAAAAAAAATATTATTCGGTGACATGCACACATAATCTTACATACGGAATGTGAAAAAAAATCATCATTGGGTCAAAAACATAAGATGAATGTAAATATTTCTGTGTGTGCCTGCGAGATTTAGTGGAAGTTATGTTATGGTTATTTTTCAACTCGTAATATCAAGTAGATAAACTTAACTTTCTTCATATTTCCTTTATTCAGTTGCATGAACACTATCCTACATACAGAATGTGCCCCAAAAATATGTACAGTATACAAAAAATAATCATCATTAGGTCAAAAACATAAAATGATTTAACAGTCCTTCATGTGCCAGTGGGAGGGGTGCATTGCTAAGGGAAGGCTTCAGCTGGGCTGGGTTGCTATGGTGAGGCTTGACGGAGCCCACGTATGACTCAGCATCTGCATATGGCTGTGGTGTTAAACTTTCGGGGACTGATTTCATGGACACGCCAGTGCCTCCACAATGTACTGTATGTGTATTATTGAGCTACTTTAGAGCTGTACGATGCCTTTGAACTATGGTGTGGGGGAGGTTGCATTTTTTGCAGTCTACCTGACACAACCCCTATCTCCCCATGTTATAATGGGTTTGCTCAACACAACATTTTCTGGGAACGCAACCCCACATTAAGCAAGGGGAGTGTGTACAGTCTTCTCTCCGTTAGCTGGAATCCCTGTTCCTTGGAACTTTTCAATAGCCGGAATGGAAATCGGCCCGGAATTTTTCCTGAAAAAAAATCTCTATTTGAGGTCAGCGAACAAATGTTCCAGGATTTCCGAGAAATTGCATCATGCTCTGCTGCGTTGCCACGTGCTCGTGCCAGCCCTGTGGGTGGAAAATCACCTGGGAATGGGCCGTAGGCTCGCGAGCTGTGATTGGCTAATACACTGTACTACTGTCATGTGACTGCATGGGATACCTGTGTTAGGCTGATGCATCTCCCAGCTTATCCCCTCTAAACTAGGCATCATGAAGCCTCTGCCATTGTACAAGATTGATCCCTCGCTCGCTGCAGTTAATGCTTAAATTTGCATTCTGCAGTGCTGTACATTACTGTACCTGGACACAATCAGCCAAGAATACAGTGTTAAAGCAGTGTTAGGATGTAAAATGTGATTCCAGTTATGTAATCAGCAGAGTGGACAGTGTATTACTACTGTATTGTAGGTTCAAGACAACATCATCTGCTGGCGAGTACAGTAGCAGTACATATTATTTTGTTTATTTACAATATATTGTTCAGTATGTGTACAGTAGTATTTACGTAAGTACATATAGGTCTGTGTCTGTCCATACGAGATGCTTAGCTTAGACTCTCAGAAAACTTTCCCCAGTGCAGGGTGGAAAATTCCAATGTCTTGACTATTACACACAGCTCTATTCATGCTTAGCTTGCCTGTATCATATTTTTATTTTTATTTTTTTTAATATATTTATTTAACCAAACTTCTGGATAAACTTTTCAGGATTATTTTAATAAAAACTAGTGTTTATAAATACTGTACAGTAGAACCTGATTTTATTGACTCAGGTATCAACATTTCGTATGTTTTGTAAAAATATTTTGTTGAAGGATCTTTTATTGGAACAATCTTGTAGAGAATTTATTAGAGCAGATTGTTACTAAAAGTTTATACACTTTTTCGCTAGCCTTAAATATTTTTGCTCGTGCCACGGTCTAAATTATTGAAGAGTGTTTTTCCATGCAAGAAGAGATGATAAGATGCATAGTTTAGAGTCGAGATGAAATGTGTAGTTTAAACCTCTTAGACTCAAGGAAAACTTTCCCCAGCACCCAGAAACATTCCAGGATGTGTGACAGTGCCTGTCTTTACAAGAAGCGTAGTTTAGACTCGCGGAACTTTTCCCAGTACCCGGAAAAATTCTGGGGAAGTGGGATTTTTCTGGGTATGAGAGTGTTGTCTTGATACTCGGAAATTTCTCATCCCCGGAAGAGCTCGGCACCAATTGTTCCAGCTAATGAGGACGTAACTAAAATTGGCAAATTTTAATTTAATCTTGCCGAGACTACCATATGCTATTTTTGTGTAGTCATGTTATGATAGTTTGTACTGTACAGTACATATTTTTTATTCCAAGTACAGTACAGTAGAACGTCTATATAACAATAGATACGTTCCAAGAGAGGTCGCTTTAAACCGAATTCGCACTAAATCGAAGTGTTGTTTCAATGGAATAATTTAGTTTGGTATTTGAAAGAAACACAAAATACTAAAAAGACTTTTATTAACTAATAAATGTGAGAAAAATATATGGCGTATTGATATATATGCAGCAAGCACTCCCTGCAGTTGAGTTGAGAGCTGGACTGTACTGTCTGCTGCCTCGCGTCACTGGCCCTCCCCCTGCCCCGACTGAGAGTCTACCCAGATGCACCTAAACCCATCTCCTAGAATAAACAAAACATTGTTTTTTGTAGTATTATGCTAAAAAAAAACTCATAAATCAACACAGCTAAAATTACAGTATGCAAAATGGACTGTTTACTGGCGATCAGCTGATGTGAGAGGGTGGCCGCGCTTGCGCCGCACACTGCCTGCCTCTCGTCTGTCTCACTCCATCCCTACCACTCACCATGCACTTTCACTATCCTCTCAACTTAGTTTTTCATTACTTTATGCTGGCCCTGCCCTGACTGAGAGTCTACCCAGATGCACCTAAACCCATCTCCTAGAATAAACAAGCACTCATAATTCAACACAGCTAAAATTACCGGATGCGAAATGGTCTGTTTACTAACGAGCAACTGATGTGAGAGGGTGGTCGCACTGGTACCACTCACCACCCGCCTCTTGTCTGACTCACCAAGCACTTTCACTTTCCTCTCAACTTATTTTTTAATTACTTTATGGTATCAAAAATAGATTTTCACTCGACTTCAGTTAGGCAATTCATCCTCTGAAGATGTAGAGCCAAACTCGACCAGCTCATCATCCACATCACTGTCTAGTGCTGTGACTGTGGACGCATCTGACACGCGGGAAGCACTGGTTGATGGCCGTGGCTGCCCAGATGTAGATGGGCCAGCTACCCCAGGAGCTGAAGAAATGGAAAACTTCTTTAAATTATTGAATTTCTACCACATAATTATTACATATCATACACCCAAAATTTAATGTAAAATTTTCCAAGTAATAAACACTCAGTTTCATAACAAACTCAACTGGTGAGGATAATGAACAGAAGAATGAGGTGATTTTCTTCTGTTGCTGGGCCATAACCATCTGATCTAGCAGCTGAGAGTACGTAGATGCAGCCCGATTCAACACCTCCATTACTTGCATACTGCATTCCATATCAGGGTCATGTTGCAGTGCAGAATGGGTGGCACAAGTGACGTGCTGCATAAACTCCCTCAGCTTAGGAATTGTCAGTTCCTTCCCTACTGTTTGGGGCTTATCTGTTGCTTCCTCTTCTTCCGCGTGTTTCTTCGCCATCTCCAAGACTTCTTCAGAAGTGAGAGGATCCTCCATGCTGACAAGCAGTTAATTCACATCCTCTTCTTGGATTTTTTGAAATCCTGAATCACCTCTCACTTCCTTAACGAGCTTCAGAATGCCTTTCACGTTCTCGCCTTTATCAAAGCCCCTGAAATCATGGACTACCTCAGGGCACAGATTACGCCACATTCCATTTAGTGCAGTTTCTGACACACTTTTCAACGCAAGTGCGATGTTAGCTATGGCATCTTTGATGGTGTAGCTCTTCCAAAATGTTGCTGCAGTCATATTGTTGTCCTTGAGATAATATCTCTTGAACAAGGCAAGAACACCTTGATCTGGTGGCTGAATCAGTAAAGTCACATTTGGAGGGAAGAAGGTCAAGTTTACATACTTATTCACACTGCACTGGTGTTTGGAGTGGCAAGATGTGTTGTCCATGAGAACCAAGGCCTTGTGGCTAAGGTTCAGTCTTTGTTAACATTTTCGATGAATGGGGTGGCATGGCTGATGTACCGCTCATCGAAAATATCAGAAGTCATCCACACCTTCTTGTTTGATCGCCAAATTACAGGAAGTTTCGGGATGAACACATTTTTCAAGGCACGAGATCTAGCCGAGTGGTGGATGATGAGTGCTTCATTCGTGAGGTGCCTGATGCGTTGGCCATGAGGAGAATCGTCAGGCTGTCCTTGTTGACATTGAACCCAGGTGCCTTTTCTTCACTCTTTATTAGATAGGTTTTCTTGGGAATTCTTTTCCAATACGGCCCAGTTTCATCACAATTTCACACTTGGCAAGGAGAATAACCATTTTCTAACACTATATCCTTCAGAATTTTCTTCATATCCTCAGCCACCTCCACGTCGGCAGATACAACTTCACCTGAAAGCGTCACATTCCTTAGCCCCGTCTTTTTGATAAATTTGTACAGCCAGCTTGTACTTGCTGTGAAACTACTGTCTTTGATGGACTTCCCTTCCTTTTCAAGTATCCAAGACTGTATTTCATAGGCTTGGTTTTGCAGCATTGGGCCAGTGAGAGGAAATTTTCAGTGCTGCATGTCTTCTACCCATAACTTCAGTGCATCTTCCATCTCAACATACATAGCAGACTTCAGGTGGAGTTTACCCTTGGCAACATCTGGTGAAGCATAGGCTGCTCTAATTTTCTTCTCACTGAGCTTGATAGCGTGGACAGAGCTCTCCGACAGTCCAAATTGGCGCCCCACACTTGAAGCACCATTTCTACGCTGCAGTGCTTCCAGCACCTTGACTTTCTGCTCCAGTGTAATTGCTTGCCTTGATTTCTTGGTCGTTGGGGTAGTTAATGATGTAGTGGCTGGCCTCTTGGACATACCGGTAGTGGTGATGGTTGATGTACGTGATAGAAGGAGATAGTGTCACACAGTATGTCCGTTCACTGGAGCGTCAGTGCGAGAACTGAGGATGTGGGAGGGTGGTGGGCAGCTGTGTAGTGTGCCCAGAGAGGTGCTGGCAGGAAACATTAGATGCAAAATTTAAAATAGTGTGTATTTCCATATTACGCACCAGATTTGACTCGCGTAAAATAGGAAAGATTCGCTTTAAACTAATACATTGTCCTTAATTGTGGGTGTCGCTTTAAATCAATAATCTTAAATTGATTCACTATAAATCGCCGTTCTAATCTATGTGTATTTCCAAATATAAATAGGAGAAAAAGTCATGCTGTACATTTACCATATTTATTATGCTACACAACAAACTTGATTGTACAGGTATACACAGCTACTCCTCGACTTACAACCTACTCGACTTACGACCACCCGGACATTCGACCGCCCCAGTCTTACCAATTTTTTTTCAAATTACGTATTTTCAAGTCCCGACTTTATTTTGACTTAGACCAATTCGACTTACGGCCTGGATTTGGGTCCCTAACCCCGTCCTAAGTCGAGGAGTGGCTGTATCCTCAAACCTGAAAACCTTGGGACCAAGACCAAACCAGTTTTGAGGATTTTCCAGTTTCCTGGGTCCTAGGTCATCCATTTTACCCTGAGCCTACCAGGAGACTACATCAAGTTTTGCCTCCATGCAGTCTTACTCCCACAAACTGTTCAAGTTTGTTTTGCTTTTTAAATAACAAATTTAGTCTATTCAGAAATTGAAAGCTTCCTTAGAGCAAGTTAAATGGGCTTCTTTACATTCCAGCAGCTTCTAGTGAGTTCTTAAGTAATTACTGTTTGTTTGAACAGTTATGAATACAAAGATATTAATATTGTTTTCACATAGCTTTTGAAATTATTATTGGTAAAATTAAACCAAAGATTCGAGGTAACTTGTGCCAGATGTTACTGAATTTAATGTGTTTTTCTTTATTTAAAGTATGTAATGCTGTTGACTTTATGGTGCTATTTAAGAAGTAAAACAAACATTCAGGCTGTGTGTGTGTGACTTGATTTTCTTTTCTTTTTTTATTTAAAAAACAATTGTAATATTGTAATATTAAAATGCAATATAACCACAAAAACTACTGTAAACACCAATGCACCCTAATATTTGGGTATGTACAGTATCCACTTACAGTACAGTATTTGGGTCATTTGTCCTGCTATATGGTTTCATTTCTGATCAAACTTTTCTAAAGTTTTCTTTTCCTATCATCGGCTGGAAGGTGATAGAAACTTAAAGGTGTCCACTTTCTTTTTAATGTACAATTCAGCACACGACAGCCTTTGTAAAGCAAGCAGGATATAAACAAAGATGGTAGAATAGATCCCCAGGTTTCCCCCAGAATACATTGTGGTAAACAACTGATGACATAGTTATGTGAAAGGTCTATTGAAAGGATGGCAGTAGTAGTCTTCAAAGATGTGTTGTTGAAATACATGGTTCCATTTGTAAATGTTGATCTGATTTACCAGATTATTTCTGATGAATCTGTTGTAAATAATGGGTGAAATGTATAAGATTCACGAGGTAATGCTAACATTTGAAAATAACATCCATTAACATGATACTTTAGGTTTTAATAGTGAATGAATTATAACCTGTAAGTGGGAAAATCCGTCCGGAAAACTGTTGAAATTTAACAGGATCCAATGTGCCAAAACTTGTGATCCCATACTTGTCACAAGATAACTATTCCAGTTCATTCCATGCATGATGTTCAGTTTTGTTGGGCATAGATCATAATCAGTAATGTGAATGGAATGGAATATTTTATATATGAGTGAATGATTTTTAATACTTATTTATGCTCTCAAGTTATAAAGAAATGTAATACATTGGGATAGCATTTGAGAGAGTGTTCTCTAACAGTATTGTCATTTTTATGTTTTATGAGAATAAATGAAGAACAATAATAAAAGTCATTGTAAGATTTGGGATATGTTTTATCATTGCTACTGTGAAAGATTTATGCCTATTTGCAATACATTCACCCACCAGAATATGATTAATGAACGTAGTTTCACTTAGAAACTACAGTATTCTATGTCATGTTTATTGTTCCAAATATGAAATACTGTACTGTATTTACACCTCCATAACAGTGATAAAGAAAAGTTTTTAAATTTATTTACATATAGAATATATTGTAAATGTTGAATTTTAATGATATATTTCATGTTACACTGCATTTGTATTACATAACTAGGAGTGTCTTAGGTGGCATAACTAATGCTGAAAGTGGTATGGTAAATTCAGGTTGGTTACATTCATGTACATGAGGTCCCATACAAGCAAAATTTCTCCTTGAAATTGATAGCTCAAGCATGAAAAAACATTGTAACACATATGGTACAAGTATTAGTCAACTAATAAAATTTGGGTAAACAAATTTTATTTAATTTAAGTTTCTTGGTATAACATCATAAATTATTGCCTAGAGTAGTTCATAATTTCATGTGTTCATTTGTTAGTGTAGCATTAGAGAGTAAGACACTTGCAGTATTAGATTTTGTGGAAAGATAGTACAGTGTAAGGAGATTTATGACTGCTTCAGTAACAATCCTGTTGTACTATATACACTAGTGAAATATAACCTCTTGATATGAAAGGTCTTTCAGGGGAAATTTTACTTTTGTAGTTAAGGAATCTAGCCTTAACATTTTGTGCAAAGGTGAATGTAATTGAAATGCGTGTCTGATGACAAATATCTTCTTAACCTGAGTTTAAAGTGCATACCTGTACCTCTATTTGATATTTCTTTTCTAATTTTCAGAGTCATTCCATTTGACTGCTTGACCAATAGTGCATAATAGTGTGGACACATAAACATTGTATGGTAATTCTTAAAGGCAATAATGCAGATCAGGAAAAAGATGTCATAGTTTGTTAACCCTTTGCACTCATATGTCAAACTACCGGTACTCTTGTCCAGCTTTCGTGAATGATAGGTTCCAAGTTTTCACGACTACATTACATTACATTACATTAAGAAATAGTGGAGGGCATAGCTCGTGTTGTCTCCCTTGTTGGCCTTTGTTTCTTTGTCATCATCCCACTAATGCAAAGTTTTGGAATGAATTGCAGTGAGCCCAATTTCAGTTTTAAGATTATGATTTGTAGTATATGTGTTTGACTATTACATATTAGAAAAATTTCCTTCAAATTACAGTGCTGTACAAGGCTGTACTGTATTCCGATTTATTGACTGTACAGTCAGTTCTGCTATAACGCGATAGCTGTGTTCTTGTAAAACATCGTGTTATAGAAATTCGCGTAATAGAAATAACAGGGCTTATGGAGAAAATAGGGTTAGGTGCAGATTACTCCAAATCGAAAAAAATTTAGTAGTTAGCCTAACACAAAGGATAGCACAGTCTAAATAAATGTTACATTCATATCTAATAATGAAATCATACAGTAAATGTAACACTTTACCTTGAAAAAATATGAATATAACTTGATGGGGGAGAAGGGTGATTTTCAGGTAGATAACATCGAGCTTCTCTTCAAGGGTTATAGCCTTACTTTTATGATCATCACCGGGAATGCGATCATCAGAACGCTTCTTGGAGATATTCTTCTTTACCATATTCACAGTTAATACCACAAAATTGGAGAAATAGTAAGCAAAAATCACGTTACAGCAAACAAGCGTTCGCGTTATACAAATATCGTTCCTCTATTCATAAATCGCGTTAGAGCCAATTCGCGTTGTCAAAACACGCGTTATAGTAGAACTCACTGTAGTAGTATTTAATATGTATTGTATTTTTATTTTTATTTTATGCTTGTGTATCAATAATTCAAAAATCAAATTTCAAAAGAAATTTAAAATTAAAATTTCCCTCCAAATGTCATCAGCTTTATTGTGGATTCTAACCAGGTGTGCTGCCCTTAAAACACCTCAAAACATATGCAAAAGTGATGGTACCTGTACTGAGTGATGCACTGTTATAAAAATAAATAAAATGCTTAGTATCAAAGAAAAATTTGAAAATCCCTAGAGACTCAATAAAGAAACTGACCAGTACAGTATAGTGTAGGAACCACAATTTATGGTTTGATGAAGATATGGAACAAATTATATAAGGTTTATGCTGATAGTGAATCGGATAAAGCTATCTGGGTATGTATAAAAGAAAAACAAAAACTGAATGAAACCAAGGCAGCTAATGTGGATAAACTGTTTTACGAGTACAGTACAGGTATTGTTATTCAAACGGTCACCAACATAGTTTTGCTTCAAGATGATCATAGTGGCAGATGATACTCCAGCCAATTGATATCACCCTCAGCTTTTTTATCCTACCTGTTCGTCATTCATCATTTCAGCTCCAAGTTAATTAGCTGACATGAAGAAAAAATAAGAAAATAGAACAATACTAATGCACGTTGTTTTCCATATAAAACTTCGGAAAAGGTAGGGAAAAATTGGGCTGTCTGGCTGCTTTATAGAATGGCAGTATGTCACTATGGTACAGCAAGTGACTGTTTACTTTGGCTGCTGCTCACTGGTTGAATGTAATAATAGCAGTTGGTGAGTTTATTCTGAGGAATTGCAGAAAAATAAATTTTTTCCTGTTTCAACATGTACTATCTAAATACCAAACTTAAGTTAGTGAAGATGAAACTAATGAAACAAGCTACAAAATATGTGGTTGAAAAAATCACACGGCTACTAGTCCTACTGCTTAGTAGAACAGACAATGGAAATGTGCCATATTATAGAGCTCTCAATGCTCTATGTCTAATTCTGTGCATATTTTTTCACACTTTTGTTAAATGTATACAGTATAATATTTCGAAATGTCTCATATTTTGAAATTTTACCAAATATTACAAAATTTGTAATATACAGTACTGTATACAGTACAGTATTTTGTGACAGCAAAACATACGAATTTGGGGTACAAATTATGGGTTTTTTACAGTACTGTATACAGTATGCATATTTTTAAATAGAATTCTCAGTCCTTATTTCATGACATAGCCCAAGATTGCCATACTCATATTTATTATTAGTAGTACAAGGTAGTAGCATCATTATTAATTTAATAAAATATTTATTAATTTCTTGATTTCAGCCTCCTTGTAATGCAAATATTAATTATAATTATTTGTGTGAAACTAAATGAAGACTAACTTAAAAGAAATACATATTTGAACGTATACCACTGTAAGTGTTTAATATGAATGGAAAGGGTTTATGCTAATTTAGGTTAAAAAAATCAGTGCTTTGCTTTCTTGCTAGTTTGTGGACATTTGTAGAAAAGGACCTGCTTTACATCGGGTGTTGATAGGGGGCCAGGTAGTAGTGAGTGACTTGTTACAACCAAAAACTAATGGGGCCACCATGCTTTTTTTTATGAAAATGCTCATTTTAAGTGAGAATTTTGCTCTTGCAAGATGCATAGAGGGAACAATTAAATCATTCTTCAGGATATTGCTTATTAATAGTGTTAATTTTTTCCAATTTTCCTATAAACACTGTTGCTTTGTGATGTAAAATTTATTGTATTAGTTTTAAAGAAATTAGATTTGTGAATGCTGTATTTTATGACTTGGCATGACTAATTTGAAAGGTAATTACTGAGGATATTCCTTTCTACTCCCTCTTCTTTTTTAAATTGTTTATACTACAAAAGAAACATTTTTCTGGTGATGCTCTTGGATATTACAAGTTAATTCCAAACCCATATCCTTCTTCTCTGTGATTCAAATGACTTTGCTCATCAAATGTTGAAGTAAAATCATTTGTGATAAGTATTATAATTTTTTGTTTATTATTATTTTCCAAACATACAGTATTGGTATTTTGTTCCATGAAATATTTAAAGTATTCCATTGTACTGTACTATATGCAGTGTATGGGTTGCACTAATAACTATGATAAAGATTTTGTGTATTTAGTGCATACACCTATTTAATAATTTATTGTGAGTGTACAATACATGTCTGATACAAATAATGATGTTGCCTTTGATATTTCATTTGAATTTAGACAGGGATACTTAGGAGGCATTAGTGCATCTGTGGACGAATAAAAGATTCAGTAAGAAAATCTTCGTTCACTCTTACTTGATAAATAAATTATGCCCAAAAATTTTCAGAAAGATTGGCAGAAGAATAGCTAATTCTCAAAGTATTTGAAGAAACTGTTTTCTAAAACCCAGTAACTGCAGTATAAAAGAAATTAAAATGTTAATCTGATAAGGCCACTCAGGAAAATATGTTTTGAGATGTCTTTCTGCAATTTTGTATAATTTAGATGGTGACTGAAATATACATTGAGCAAGTAGCTTTGCCACCCCAAGGAACACTACTGACCAAGTTCCCTTGAGGCAGTAGTTCCGCTCATTGGTGATTCTGCCATTACTTAGTTAAAACCCCAGAATGAAGCCTTTAGCTTATATTATTATTCCACACTCAAACTTTGGTAATTCCATTGTTTAATAACTCTATCAATCTTGTTTTCTTCACATGACATAATATGATGTGGCAAATTGAGGAGCTTCTTACTTTGTAGTGTTCTGTAATTGCATGTAAAGTTGTAAATTGCTATACAGGAGTGCTTTTTGATATACGAAATGGATACGTTCCTGAAAAAACTTTCGTAAATAAATTTTTCTTGGCTCAAAAGCCATTTTTTTCCTAATGACTGCAATTATATAGAGAGAGATACCTGTATGTTCCTACAAAAAAGAATATCCCTGTCAGATTCCTCCTCCCGTTGTGTTGGTCCTATGAAAAATCACTCGCAGCAATTGGTGACATATCTATGGTCACAATCATGATTATTGGGTGTATCACCTTCATTATCAAATTCCTCTCCCTGTTGTGTGGGGGCCTATAAAACACTTAAAGCAAATAATGGAACATTCATGACTGCTATAAAAAATATCAGGTGATATCACTATAAAAAATCTCCTCCTGTTGCGTGGGGCCTGAGTTGTGGTCATTGCCTTGTTCTTGTTGATAGGCATGTGACACAGGCATAGATGAATCAATTTCTTCCTCCATATGAACATAATTGAAGTATAGTACTGTAATCCGTTGTAAATTTCGGCCTCCAATTTGGTGGTCAGTTAGCTATACAGTACTTTTGTCAATATACAGTAGCACCTTCATATACAGTAAAGTATATGTATATATTAGTACAGAAACGTTGCCACACACTAGCCTGCACTACAGTACACTGCTTACTGTCTATGTTCAGCACAGGATGCTCGCTGGGTTTTCATTCGTATACCGAAGCACTGGAATAAAAAAAAAATTTACAGTACAGTAAGTCCACACTTAACATCGTCTCGCTTAACTTTGTTTCAGTACTACGTCGCTAAACTTTAGAGACCAAAAATTCGTTTAACGTCCCGGTGATCCGATACTACGTCGTTTTGCATCATCACGGACTACTTTCTTCGGCTCGTCGCAGTCTCAGTGACTCGCCACCCTCCTCTCCCGCCCTCCTACTCTGCTCCTGCCAAACTCCTCCCTTCCCGCCATCTGCTTCCTCTGCTTCACTACCCGCCACACACTCGCTCTACCACCTCCACCCATTGGTGAGTACCAATACAAACTTAGTAGTTGTATATGTATGCACTATTTTCTATAGAAATGGCAATGATTTTCTGTACTGTATATGTAATGTATTTCAGGGGCAAAGGGAGGATCAGGAAAGTAACCCCCATATTTTATCTATTTCTTATGGGGAAAATTGATGCGTTTAACGTCGTTCTGTATAACGTCGCATTTTTAGGAACGTAACCCCGATGTTAAACGAGGACTTATTGTATTAGTAAATTTTTGTAAATTGGTGTTGTGTAAATCGAAGCACTCGTAAATATATTTATCAAAGGTAGCAATGGCAAGCAGCA